CAACAGCTTGGGGTTTCGACCAAAGGTGTGACGTAGTCTGGCCAGGGCTAGCGTAGGAGATGTTGCCGTGGACCCCTAGGCCGCAAAGGCGTCTTAGATGGGCTGACCCTGAAAGCAGCAAAGAGGGAGTAGTTGTAAGTTACTGAACTTCGGAAGGAAAAAAAGTATGCTTCTTCGAAGTGATGGATAATCTACCTGATTGGGAGGCTACCCAATATGGCTCCACTGCAATTCAGAGCAGCCATAGCACTCTCCGCCTGCATAGGCATATATACACGATGTTAGAAGATCACGGAAAATGGGTCTGGAAACTCAGCTGTTTAGCAAGAAGAGGAAGATTACCATCACAAACTCCACGAAGGCAATCCTGGTGGGGTGCTGACAGTCCCCAAGCAAGCGAAGGCGTGAAACCTGTTGTTGCACAAACAGCCGAGGGACTAAGAACAGGAAAACGAAGCTTGAAGCCTGTCTTATTCTGCACAACATACCTCTCCGCAAAGTGACTCAAAGAACAGCTTCACATCAGCCTGGGCAACCTGCAGAGGCACCAAGGGACGTCAGTCATCTTAGCCAGACATCCTGGAAACAGGAAGCTATTGAAATGGAAATTACCTTCTTGTCGATGTTTGTACAATAAATAGTACGAGCACACATTTCCTTCTCGCCCTGACTCTGAAACATTGTGAAGAAAATATGTCAACATAGAATCTGCTCGGAACCAAGTGGTGACATGCTCAAAAACGAGGAAAACGGCCTGCTTGTCCGTACCTTAGGTAAATAGTTGGGGTTGACAGGCAGAATGGCAGTCTTTGAAGGCAAGACTCGGAGTGGATAATAGCCCAGCATGGTTCCAGCTATAGTCAGGGCTTTCTTTGCTCCCTCTGCGACACAAAGTGACATCCACCAACAGTGTTAGGACATCAAATGAAGAATCGTAAGTCGGTCGAGCAGAACATGCTAGATCATTGATTACCTTCATTTGTGAACTCCACAAAAGCGAATCTAAGGATGGAGTTTGGATCTCCACAAATTCGACAATCAATGACCTGCGATGAGGAGTTACAAAAGGATTACAGCTATAAGTCCATTGCAGGGCAAACTTGAAGTCACCGAAGCTTGCACCAATGTCACATGACTCCATCAGGGGCGAAAAAGAGGGGTATACCTGACCGCAGGACAAGAAAAGTGTAGCAAGCTGTTCCTCTGTAACCTGCAGATCAAGAGGGATCCGGAGGAGAGCAGCAAGAGACGACGCTGATCAACAGTTACTTGTGGTGCACGCTCAGAGACAAAAGAAATACCGAAAGGAGCACGCGGTAAAGACAAAAATGAAGGGTTGAAGCTAAACGGACTCAGATGACTGCGCTGTGACAGATGGGATGGTTTCAATACCTGCTGATCAATGTCAGAGACATAGACGGTCCTCTTGACGGATTCTTCGGTGGAGATCTGCGCCGTTCTTGGCTGTCGTCGCCATCGTTCAGGACAAGCAGGAACCTTCTGCGCCTGGGACACAAGATGGAGGCATGAAGTAAGATGGGATATGTCCAGAGACTCCAGAAGTACAGAGTTCCAAGGAAACGAGTCTCACCTTCTTCAAGGAATTCTTCTTGGAGGAAGCGAGCCTTGATGGAATAGTCCGAACAACAGCAGTCGGCCTGTGCTGCACTGATGAAGGCACGTACTCCTCCGCATTTGGGTTGAGGCGCTGCAGCATCGCCTCGATATCCATCATGTTCTGCTGATTGGCGTCTGACTGAAGTTCTGAAGTAGCGCTTTGACACAAATCACTGTAATTGGTGAGCGTGCCAAGGTATGGCTGGTGGAGTGCGGCAGCATATGCACTCAATGCCTGATACTGCTGATACAGGGACGCGAGCTGCTCTGCAGAGTAACCCTGAAAGCTCTGCATGAAAGTGAGCGCATTCTGGCCAGATAATGTCGACGGATCGACGACCCAAACGGCATGAGGGCTGTACATTAGCTGAGAAACGTCAGTCTGCTGCTGAGTTATTATGATGTCGCTTCCAGAGCCACAGTCACTGAGAGTAGCGCTTTCCTCACTGCAGACACTTGAAGCCTGCTGATCATGAACCTCTTGAGCTGTCTCTACCTCAGCCATCGTCGTCACTAAGTGCGTCAGAAAAAGAGTTCAGACGCTGCTGAGGCGACCTGGATAAGATATTCGCACATCAACTACGAATTCTCGACCGATACTTGAAGCTACCACTTCTCGAAGCTGGCCAGTCCTGAACTTCTAGGGTAGCACTGCTGTTGGAGCAGCACCTGAATGACATGTAGCGTCTCTTCCCTGCAGTTATCATATCTCGTTGTGTGGGTGAAGGCAGAAGCCAGAAAGGCGCGCGAAGCGAATTACAGCCGACAGATGCTGTCAGCGCGTCTCCGTCTCTTGCCATGAAATCCGTCAACCCGTCTAAAATTTCTGTATCTGCAAAATGCTCGGTGCGCTAAGACCCTAAGGCGAAAAGTAGTTTTCATGTGACCCAGTTGACGGAGGATGCCTTGAGATTGCATCTTCCGTCTGTTGTTCCGACTGATGACGGAGTGTTCAGCTCAGGCTATTCCCTCTGGCTGGCGATTGGCGGCCAGTGGCTCGCGGCTTTGACAGACGGACGGGCTACGGGTGGTTTGGGGAGGAAGGGCAAGATGCTGTTTGCCACTGGGCGATGTCATCCCCTGAGGCCTCCCTCCCCTCCCGTCCCCTCCCCTCCCCTCCCATCCCATCCCATCCCCTGTCGTTGATCCGCCTCGCTGAAAGTCCCTCCACCATCCCCTGTCGCTGCGAGGCGCAGCGTACGTACGTCAGGGCAGGTGTGGTCCAAGCGAGTCGTTCAGTTCGACAGCGGGGGGCAAACCGCCCAAGGCAATCTGCCCACCACAGCTCCACCCACATTTCCCCTTCTTGCCGCTGCATGTGCCATTCAGTACCGTACAGAACTACAGTCCTTGCCTTCGTTCGCACCATCGGGAATGCCCGAAGAACACCGCTCCGCGCCCAGCGAAACCGCAAGCGCCACGGTGCCGTCACCTGTCACGACAACACGACGAAACGAAACCAACCGACAACGAACGGCTGCTTGTTCGTCGGTCCAAATTCTGGTGGTTCAGCAAACGAGATTCCACCACCTTCTGACGGTGCACACCGCCAAGCCTTGTTGATACAAACGCATCAGATAAGACGCAAACCTCTTATTTTTCACTTCATTACAACTATTTCAGCAAGTTCTATATTTCTCCACATACTTATACACTGCATACAGCTAACAATGATAAACGAATGTCAAGGCCAAGAAGATTGTCAAAAATCGTATTGTTTGTGCTCATGCGGAAAATGCAACAATTGTAGTACCCATCTAATGCAATAGCTACACGTATCAAGGATGGCTGCGAGCAGGGAACGAGGAGACGGTGGGAGTGAGGACGAGCGTCAGCAGCAAGAGCATCACAACCACAGGGACTAGCATCAGCTCCGCAGGTGGAGGGGCCACGTCTGACAAGCAAGCAGGAAGCAGCACCAATACCACAATCACCACAGCCATGATCGCAACAACGGACTTGGCTGATGCCAGATGTGACGTTTTCGCCGCCCCCGTGCCTGCTGGTCCCCTGTTATTTACTTCCTCGTGCGCTGCATCCTCATCCTCCTCTGCCGCAGCGTTCAACACGGCCATAACCCTAGCTGCCTGTCTACTGCCTTCCAGACTATGTGTGGTAAGAAATCTCGCTCCTTCGCCAACAACGGCCCCTCTCCCAGCAGCAGCGCAGGCTGATTCCCTTGTGTATTTGTCACCTTCCCTCCACCAACCTTCCGTGACGTTCATTGAATGGCCCCACCATCCGCGCTCAGCGCTCAAATGCTCGTCTCCCATTTTGCTGATTCCACTTCTTCGCGTCCCCGCGCTTTGCGCTCCTCCTCCCGCTCCGGAACGAAGGCCAGAAGAAGACCCAGTCCCCACACCGGCTCTGCTGTACCCGGCACTTCCGGCGGCGACTCTGTACCCGGCGCTTCCGGTGGCGTATTCTGAAGCGCGAGTAGCGGTGGGGCTGTCGTAGCTCGAAAGCTGCCTACCTAAGCTGTTCGCGCGTGCGCTGCCGCCTCGCGGAGCGACCTGGCTGTGGTTCCCGCCGCCGCCGGCAATAGCGCCGCTCTTGGCGCCGGGATGGCTGTAGCGCTCGTAGCCGTACTCCATTTCGGCTGTGGTCGCGCCAGCCGCTGCGTAGACTGCTCCGCCGCCGACGACGACGCGGTTCATCCGCGGATCCCGCCGTTCCGGAGGGAACCCTCCCTGCTGCTGACGATGCGAATGGTGCTGCTGAGCCGAGTGACTGGCACTACTGGGGCTTCCGTGGCTGCTTCCGCTTCCATAAAGGCTTCCCCCATCGGCGCTTCCACCGCTAGATCGTTCCGCGGAGTACTGCGAGCTGCGCATGAGGCGGCCTGAGGAGTCTTCCCCCTGACCGCTTCCGCCAGCGCTACTGCGGTCGAGAGAAGCGGAAACGCTGTCCGGCGAGCGGCTGCTAAATTCGTCGATTCGGCCGCGAGGGGTGAAGGGAGAGATTGGTGGTGGCGCGAGACAAGTGGCTTCTTGATCTCGATGTCGATACGTCATTTTGCTGGAGTCTAAATCGAATTTGAAAAGAACGAAGTGATTCTGCGAAGATTGCGGGGACTAATTTCAAGCGTACAGAAGGATTCTCCGGGCTGGTCGTTGAGAACTGCGTGATCTAAGCGTAGAGAGGTTTCACCAAGGTGGGTCGGTGATATCCTCTTCTATGATTGATTTCTACGTGGTTTCACGTGGCGTGTGCTGCGTGTGGCCTATGCTTCACGTTCAGACAACTATTACAGCTCTGAGGCCGACATATTTCAGCTGCTGGTGAGCAGAAGATGGCAGGGAAGGGAGGAGCAGGAAAAGGAGAGCAGGGAATGCAGCAGGGCGTTGGGGCTGGCTTGGTTTGGAAAAGCTGTGTTGCGTTGTGGGGCAATGCTGCTCTTGAGCAGGATGCTGGTTGGACGCTGGTTGGACGCTGGTTGGACGCGCAGATCACCGCATTTCGGTCACGCAGGCTCATCTCTGACCATTCATCGGTAACTTCGAGAAACACGGCGCAGGTCCGGTGCAGTGCTGCAGATGACCATTGGCCCCCCAGCCACACCTCACGTCACGTCATCTTTCCCTGCTGCCCCCGCACGAGCGTGGCCACACCCCGCGTGCCAGGCAGAGGATCCATGCGCTGGAGTTGCGGAGTGCTGTTGACGGGGTCATGGCTGTTGGCAGCCCGTGTATGGCTTGGTCGATGGTCGGCTCGGCTCGGCTCGGCTCGGCTCAGCTTTCCTTCGGGCGCAGAGATAGGCCTGGTGTCCGTTGGGTGACGTGGCGGGCAAACCCCTTTGCTGCTTGGTGCTGACATCACCGTGATCATTATATTTGACACCCCGCCGCCCTTGCTGGAAATTCCATTTGTCGTTGCTGCCAGCACAGCTCGCCAAGAGTTTCGCACAGGGATTCGTCAATCTTCGCGTAAATTCTAGGCATACGTCATCCTTCACGGCATTTCATTTCCGCGAAAGCTATCAATGTCACCGTCAATTCTTTAAATTTTGAACCATGTAGATTATGGACTATATTACTGTAATGTGCATTATAGTATATCTGGTTGACCTTTATGCTGCTTGAGGCATGTGTAGCATTTCGTTGCGTCCCCCCGCTGGCCCCACGATACAGCAGCTGACAGAAAGTACGACACACAGGAAGATGCTTGTCAGATGCCAGCTGTCGCCAAACGTGAAACACCAGAGGCTGTTTCGCGTTGAAACGTTGTGATCTGTACAGCATAAAGCGGGTGAGAGGCCGTGGTGAATGCTGTGCGTGTGGCTGCGGATGCTGGTCAGGTAGCTACCCACACTTAATTTTCTAGTTGCGACCTGGTCCAGGGCTGGTACTGGCTATGAGCGGTTTGAAAAATGGAACATTGTTATAAATAACACGAGTATAGAGGTGTTGCCGCTCCCATCACCTTGGCCCCTGCCCAGGCGCAGTCTGTTGCAGTTCTTCGGTCCGTGGAATGAATGGCTGAGCATCGCAAAAACATATATCTGCTGCCAATGACCTAACATAAGGTGTTCGATTATGTGGACTATTATCGTTTGGGAGTTTCCAGGTTGTATAACATACTGTAATTGACTACCGTAAAATCAAGGAAGATGGTCCCTCCAAACCAAGGCACGCGGCCTCCTGACTGGCAATTGCCTGCCAGCTTGCTGCTCGATGACCCGATATGATCGCCACTGGCACTAGCCGCGGCCAAGCTGTTGCGAGTGTGTACAAAAGAAGCCACGAACGGAAGTTTGTTGGTAGTACACCCTAAATCTTGTTAAATTCATATCACGAAACATCACAACCGCCCTAACCGTCACTGCCCAAATTGGCTTGTGATCACATTGCTGCGAAACAATTTGACGGTACCCTGTCCCCATTTGGTGTCATTTTGATGCATCGTTGGACGGAAATGGGTAGCTTCAGTCCATTTCGCCATGCCCACGAATTTCCAATCAAATAAAATAAATAACAACATAGCGGGAGGATGGAAACGAGTGCGCAGTTGGATATGACGTGCAGCATCGAGATGCTCCGTGCCAAACTGGTGATGACGACAGCACAATTGCCACCTCTACTGACGTGGAATTCAGGGCCCCTTGGTCGGTGAGAAGGCGTCTAACCTCGGCGAGTTCAACAGGTGCGACTGCACTTGGCGATGAACTGACGGGGACCACGAGGCGCGCGTTGGCGAAATCACTGACCGGCACAACAAACACCACCGGAAAGAGCGAAAGCAAGGTGGTGACGATGATTCTAACAGCCAACTGCTAGCTACACTACTGACGGTGTATTTATAGTTGCAACCGGTTTCCCCTACACCACCGAAGGCAGACACCGAACACTTCCTGAAATACACTCCACACCGCAACAGTAGATTTTGCCCAGCAATCCGGTGAACCTTGGAGAACGCGCAGTGCATGGAGAAATTTGATTTGCAAAGACACCAAGGGGGGTGCAGTTTTAAATGGAGTACCATGGCTCGTGGAATACATAGTCTCCCCAGCTCACAACACAACGTTTCACTAGCCGAAATTATATCAGACACTTTAGTCGATTGATACTGCGAGAATACGCGCACCTTGCCAACAGACCCGCATGATGAAACAAGTCATCTGCCTCAAGATAAAATCTGACTCTAGTTTGAATTACGCAGATTTGGTCACATGGCGTATTAGGCCCCATGGTAGCATGATTAGTAAGATTTTGGTAGCCTCAGCAGCGTGGCTGAGTGCCAGGTCCACCAACCACGAGAGTCGAGTGAGGAATCGCAAAAGAGCAAATCCCACTCTTGAGGAGGAGCTCTAAGTGTGGATTTGACATGGTGCTTCTGCTGGACTGCCATTGACCGTGGAAATTATCATGGAAAAGGCGCAAGGCATTGCGAACAGAGCGGGTTGTCTTAAGGAGTTTCGGGCTTACTAGAGCTCTTGGCCGCATGGGCTTGCGCTGCCTCACACGCAAAGGTGAAGCTTGAGCTGCCAATATGGACGCCGTCAATCACTGTCGTGTCGTACTCCCGATTTTGTTGCTTCTTCTTGGAGTTGCTCCGTGGGATTGGTATAACTTTGATGAAACACCACTGTTTCTAGCGCACCTATCGCGTCAAACTTATACAGCTGAGACGCATACAAGCGGCCCGTGAGTGCAAGGATCGTCTCACCGTTGCTCTCTTCTGCAATGCAGACAGCTTCGACTTGTGGAAACCCTTCATTATTTCCAAGGTCTAGCGCCCTCACGCATTTCATGGAGGTTTTAAGGTCACGGATCATGTGCGGTGGTGATGAAATCGGAGTGGTTGGATAACGCGTGCGGTATGTGATTCCACCCTTTTCGTTCACCCTTTCAATCCCCCTCTCATTCACCCTTTCAGTTTCAGCCACTCAGTCCCCCTTTCATTCCCCCTTTCCCTTCAACCTTCAGCTTCACCCTTTCACTCACCCTTTCATTCACCCTTTCATTTACCCGATCATTGACCCTTTCATTTAGAGTCCCCCTTTCATTCACCCTTTCATTCACCCATTCATTCACCCTTTTATTTTCAGTCCCCCTTTCATTCACCCTTTTATTCACTATTTTGTTTTCATTCCCCCTTTCATTCGTCCTTTCATTCCCCATTTTATCTGCCCCTTTCATTCACCCTTCCCCCTTTCAGTCACCCTTTCATTCACCCTTTCATTTATAGTCCCCCTTTCATTCACCCATTCATTCACTCTTTCATTTTCAGTCCCCCTTTCAGTTCCCCTTTTATTCATCCGTTCATTCACCCTTTCATACACACTTTCCCTTTCATTTACCCTCTCATTTTCAGTCCCCCTTTCATTCACCCTTTCATTCACCATTTCGTTTTCATTCCCCTTTTCATTATTCCTTTCATTCACATTTCCATTTACAATCTCCCTTTCATTCACCCGTTCATTCACCCTTCTATTTTCAATCCCCCTTTCATTTTCAGTCACCCTTTCATACACCCTTTTGTTTTCATTCCCCCTTTCACTCACCCTTTCATTCGCTCTTTCTTTCCACCGTTCGTATTCACCCTTTTTATTCATTCTTTTTTTGCACCCTTCCATTCTCCCTTTCAGATTCATTCATTCATTCTATTTGCACCTTCATATTCATCCTTTCATTCACCATGTCATTCCCTATTTCACACACCCATTATGTTCCCTTTTCGTGCATTGATCTTTGCGCTTCGAGCGGTGCAACGAATGATTTACGAATGTCGACTCCACTTTCTACGTTCAAGGTCGACAGTGCATTATCTTGTTGGACAACGCATCATCGCATACGGTTAAGGAGTGGTGGAAGTATTGCTTGGGTTTAAGACGCTCTGACTCTCCAACGTGCGACTTGTTTTCCTCCCAACCAACACGACCACCCATCTTCAGCCGCTTGATCATGGGCTAATCGCAACACTCAAAATGCGATTTCGCTCGGGGTGGGTGGCCGAGGTGGTGGATCAGTGGGACAACACCGGAGGGGCAATTAACGTGGGCCGCTTGAAGTCGGACACGAAGCGGACTATCGTTGGACTAAGCCAAGCATGAAGATCGATTGATCCTTCGACCGTGCAACGCTGTTAGTGGAGTTGTCGTTGTTTTTTCCTATGCAATGGCTCCCCTTACTGCGGCATGTGAATGCGGCTTCCACGGGGGCAGACCCGTCTGCGGACGAGCTGGGGGTGCTTGGAGCTGCTCTAGGCCAGCTTTCCCTTTGCACGGACGCTATGGGGCGCAGGAATTTGTTGTGGTGGACAACGGGCTGCCAACTCCTGAGTTACCAGCAGGTATGCCTCCTCTACCCATCGAAGATGCAACTGCAAAAGAGGCTCAGTTGCCGGGACCTGTCACCCACGTCATTCTAGCCCGTACGGAGAGGCGTCTAGCGTGGCATGCTACAAGTGTGTTGGTGGATTTTGCACAAGATTGAAGTGGAGCTCGTGACTTGTTGCATTTGCTGGAGACTAGCAATCCCGTGGTTTCAAAGAGGCTAAAGAGAGCCAGTACCTACCCTAACTTCGACCTTAATGCTCCTCAAACGGACGAGGCTGGTGCAGAAATGGAAAGGGAAGGGAACGTGGCGGAATAAGATTTTTGTGCGAGGTGGAAGGGATGTTGTGGCGTGTTGCCGCATCAGGTTAAATGTAATTCATATATCTTGTGTGTCTCTTTACTGAAGTCGCGGCAGTTATGGTGATTTAAGTACAGTTGGCGAAACGGCGCTGGGAGTCATGGCGAGTGATGGTTGTGGGCCATTTCATTTTCGGAGTACACGGACATTCTCCTTCTCCTCTCTATCAGGTTTCAATTTTGTCGATTTTGTAACCTTTTAGGCTATGGCGTCGGTATCTTTAATCGTGGCCTACTAGTACTAGTATCGCTAGGCAGTACCGCTTTCTATAGGGGCGTATTCTTGCTGGTGTTGTGTGTGTGCTGAAACAAGTTGTTTCAGGCTGCGCTGGCTGCGGTTGGGGTGTCTCTGTTTTCGACGATTTCAACTGGACCTCGATTTCGTCGCCAACACTCCCCTAGTTTTTGTTGGCCGCTTTGGTTTCGGGAAATACCAATGGCCAGGGGCCTCTTTCGGAGTCGCGTAGCACCACATTTCGCTAAAAACAAATGCCAACCGCCCTGCCAAAAACAAGTGACGTTATCGAGGCTCGGGGTATACATAGATTTGTTTTGACCCTATGAATTGGTTTTATGTTGGTTGGTTGATTATCCAGCCTCCCTCAGCCGCGAGTCTGTAAATTTGTTTCGCTTGTTGCCCGAGTCGAGAAAACTTCAGTAGTTGCTGTAACGCAGAATCGGTCTCGAAAGGATCAGATGCTGCAGGATTCTTGCACATCCGATATCGATTGCTTTCAAGTCTACAGTTCTACAGCACTATTTCAGATTCATTGTTTATTGAACGGGAGGCTGTGGTTTGGGGAGACCGCTGATGAACCCTCCAGCACATCACAGGCTTGGGCCAAAGAGCCCCAGCCTCGCCTCGAGCTTGGCCTGGTTTGGAACAGACAAGCATAGAGGGCTGCGATTGGTGTGAGTTTCATCAAAGAGGCAGGCTCGGATCCCCAAGGCAGGCTCGGACGAAACCCCCCTCCCCCCCCTCACTTTCTGCTCCGCATCACCCTCCTCCCCCCCGTAGCTGCAAGTTTTGCGCGAATAACTCGCGCTTATCCGTTTCCCATTCCCCCCAAGCTCCCACCCCACCCTTTTTCCCAGCAGCAATGCTGGTGCGTTGCCTTCCTCATTCAGACAATACCTTTTTCCCGCGCGGCTCCTGGACCTGGAGCTTGCCGCGGATGGGCCGCGGGCTCACTTGGTTCACATGTCAGGAGAAGTGTTTCACGCCTTTTCCTTCCTGCCCACGCAAGAGCCAGTGTACAAATCCCCCCGTTTTTGCACCAAGTGTTTCTACTCTGTGGACAACCTTTTTCAACCAATCCACTGCTCATGATGTTCCCTCCCCAGGTTAGCTTGTGGGTGCTGGGAGTAACACCTTTCACCTTCTGAATAGTAGGTGCTAGGCTCGGCCTTATCTCGATCTCGTTCCATCTGCTAAGCATTCCCCTCGTTGCCAGTGGCTTTCTTAAACGACGGGCTGATCCTTATTCTGTTGAAACCGAATTAGTTTCCCGATTCAGCAATTTCGTCTTATATTTCCGTCAGAAGAGCGATCAACTTTTTGTATTACTAATGGACTCCGCAGGGGACCCGAGTTGGAAGAGGTCAGTGTTCGACCTCTCTCACTTTTCCTCAACCCCCTCCTTGCTTCTTCCTGCCGCTGTCGATCTGCACGCACCGCCGCCTAACCCGTCTACTACGTTCACGTCCCCATCTGACGTCTTCTCCGTGCATGCTATGGGACCCTCGTGGCGTCACCATGATGCTTCCGCGACCTCCGCTCCCGGTCTCGACCCCTACTACGACTTCCTCTCTTCCAGCGGCCCCAAAAAGCCGATTCAGCGAAAGTCGTCCGGGGGGCCGTCGTCTTCGTCAGACCCTTTAAGGAGACCCTCAAGACAGAATTCTTACCAGCGGCGATTAACCGACTCTCCCCTCCCAGCAGATTACCGTGTCTCCTCCTCCTCTTCCTCGTCCTCCTTCTCGTCGTCGATCAGCGACGGCCAAAATCGCGGAGGTCAGCAGCAGCGTCATCGTCCCGGCATGTCGTTTCAAAGCAACCCGGTTCGGTTACAAGGAGACCCAGTCGAGGCTCATCTCGCCCACGCCGTTTCCGAGCTTGCTGCGACGAGAGCTCCACCTGCCGAAGAGCTCCTGGGATTTTCCGAGCAAGATATTCAAGATTCCCACCAAATTGGTGGACGATCCGGGACACGAAAAGAATTGATCGCAGGGACGCCGCCAGCTGCTAGGATGATGTCGCGACGTGCGATCCTGGTGGTGACCGTCTTTCTGTTTCTCCTGATAGTGCTGCCGGCGCTTCTCCCGAGTATTTCGCCTCCGCCTTCAGCGCTGCTGGTTATTCCCGTGATGCTCATGTTCATGCTCGTCTATCTAGCCCTGGCTCCTCATCACCTCCCTGGGAGGAACCACGTTTACACGTAGCTCTTCTCATTTTCAAGTTTACGGTAGCTGCAGTGCTCCCAGCTTCAGTCTTGCCTAAGTAAAGCGTTTCTTTGCAGGCATTATTTCTGGGATGTCCAAGACATTCGTGAAGGCTGACATTGTGGGGCTCAATATCAATTCGCCTAGATAGCCATCAAATGAATGAGTACGATCTGAGAGATCCTGGCAATCTACCACAGAGAAGCAATTCAACGGCTTTTTAGTTCCATTTGCAGACATCAGAACAGTACCATGCACCAGGCTCAAAACTCCTTTTCTGGATGCAGGGTTTATGGGAATGAGACCAAGCTAGCAACTGTTTGGATTGGAACAAGCACTGCACTCCCAAGCGACATGCCTGCATGAATAACCATCACGAGCCCAAGTGCTCACCCCTAGACAACCATTCAAGTCTATGGTACCTACCCACCCTCAAGCCTGAACCAGGAAACCTAGACAACCATTCAAGGGTATGGTACAGAACATCTAGGCACCTCGAACTTTTAGACATACTCTTCACCTCATCTGACCACCTTTCAATCATGGACAACGTTTCTTCTGAGCTTTACACGCCACCGCATTTTACATATGGGTTATGCAATAACCATCACGAGGTGTTATTCTCAACCTAGCATGTGGCTACAACCATAACTTATAAGCAGCTGACAGTGTCAGGCAGCTGGGAAGAGGGAGCTGCCCAGCTGCTGCATGGCCACATCCCCACTGTCGACCAGAGTAATGGGCCATGTGACTGGGCGAGCAGCAGCGGAAGTAACACAGATGGAAGGTTGTCAGGCAGCTGGGAAGAGAGAACTGTCCAATTGCTGCATGCCCGCACCCCCGTTGTCTCTGCCAGAGGAATGGGAATCCCGAGGGAGAGCTGAGAGCAGGCGCCGAGTGGCCTCCGCCCTGGAAGGAGAGAGAGTGGGAAGACATGCAACAGATGGGAAAGGGTTGAGTTGAGTGGATGCCATGGAGAAAAACTGGAGGGGAGGGTAGGGGAAGGGTGGAGAGGGAAGGGGTGGAGTGGGTGGTATACGGAGCACAGCTGACAACGTGATGCTTGTGGGTAGGAGAAGAACAGAGTGCTGAACCGGCAAAAGTGTTGCAACAAGTGCTCTTATCATGCTTGCACTGTACCTGCAAGCTAGAGAGATGTCGTCTCGATCCACCAATCCCAGCACCCGCAGTCGCACTACAGGCGCCACGCGATCATCGCCATCATCGGCATTGCGGTCATCAGCATCAGAACCACTCTCCTCATCCGTAGAACCATCTTCTTCTCTCTCGCTCCCACTCTCACTCTCACTCCCACTCCCGCTGCTGCTGCTGCTGCTGCTGCTGCTGCTGCTGTAACCAGCACTCTCACTCCCACTGCTGCCACCACTCCCCGAAGCATTGCCCCCCACCCTCTCCCTCCTCACTGTCACATCCTCCCGAAGCACCACAGGAAGCTGCCGAAGCCCGCGAGCCGTCATGCGGTCGCGCGCCGCCCGCAGCGTGGTATCCGGAAAGGTCACCTCTATGTCCTCTGACGCCCGGCCCCGGGCGGCAATGCCCGAAGCAGAACCGGAAGTGGAAGAAGAGGAGGAGGAGGAGGGGGAAGAGGAGGAGGAGTGGCCACGCCCATGCCCATGCCCATGCCCATGCCCATGCCCATGCCCATGCCCATGCCCATGCCCATGCCCATGCCCATGCCCATGCCCATGCACATCCAGCGAAGAGTCTGAGCCTGAAGGGAAGCGGAGGTAGGCTTCAGAGTCTGGATGCTGGTGGCAGATGGCAACGACCGGAAGGGACTCCACATCACCAGCAGCACCGCCCGCAGTCAACTGCCTCTCCGCCTCCTCCTGTACATCCACAAGAGTGAGCAACCCGTGCAGGTACCCCCCGTCCTGCAGCACCAGGCAGCACCACTGCCTGTGCGCCACCATGGCTGCTACAGCGTCCCGCACCATGGCTCCCACCCTCACTGCTGCGAAGGACGTGTTCATCGCCACTGCCACCGGTAGCTCCTCTAAGAGCTGCTCCTCTAAAAACACCCCGTCCCGCACGTCTAAAGAGACCCCGTCGTCTCGCGAGACCACAACGAGGGGAGGAGGGGGGGGGAGAGGTGCGAAAGAAGGGGAAGAGGGCGGGGCGGGAGGAGGGGAACTAGGCTGGGAGGGGGGCATGAAGCCTTGTTGGGGGTTGGTGGGAGAACGGGGAGAGTGAGGGGAGGAAGTTGACGAGGGGGCGGGGATTCTCAAAGGAGGGAGGTCTGTGGGTGGGAGGTCGAGAGAAGGAGAGGGGGAGACAGCAGGTGGGGTCTCTTGTGAGAGCCCATCACTGCTTGCCCCTGGCACCTCAACTTCCAATGGTGCTGCTGCTGCTGCCACTGCTGCTGCCGCTGCTGAATGTCTTTGATTCAAGCTGGCATCCACTTCAGTAGACCCTGCTTCCAATGAACTGTCACTTGCCCCTGTGGCGCCAGCAGCTGCTGTTGCTGCTGACGCCGAAGCTGCATCTACCACCACCGAAGCTGCTGCTGCCGCCGCCACAGCTGCTGCTGCTGCCACTCCTGCTGCTGCTGCATCAGCCTGAGCTGCCTCCGCTTCCGAAGGGGCACCAAGCGGAGCAGAAGCAGAAGGGCCTTGAGTAGTGGCTGGGGAGGAAGAAGTGAGAGGACGAGGGGGTACCGGGTCAGGCACTAGGCCACTTGCCCTCTCCAGCACAATCACAGTAGCGTTAGACTCTGCTGAACCACCTGAAAAACCCCCTGGAGACACCACTCCTCCCGCTCCACCTGCAACGTCCAGGATAACAGCTGGCACTAGAGGGTTGGCTGCTGTGGTGGCAGCAGGAGCAGCAGGAGGGGAAGGAGCAGCATTGTCATCTGTTGGCGAAAGCGCAGCGGCATTATCAGCTTCAGCTGCTTCTGCCGCTGCTTCGACAGCAGCTTCGGCAGCCGTGGCTGCAGCTTCGGCGGCCACACCCGCAGCTTCGGCAGCCACTTCCGCAGCTAGGTCTAGCTCCGGCATAAATGAAGAAGCATCGGGATTGTCATACGCCTTCTCCTGGGCACTGGACGCCGCTGCTGCTGCTGCCGCTGCTGCAGTTGCCGCTGCTGCGGCTGCGGTTGCAGCTGCTGCTGCTGCACTGGCCACCTTGGGCCCAGAGGAAGGAGCCTTGGAGAGCGTATTACGCTTGGGGGAGGAAGGAGGGGAGGAGAGAGGGGAGGAGTGTGGGGAGGAGAGATGCGAGGCAGGAAGCCACTGCTGCTGCTGCTGCTGCTGTTGCTGCTGTTCTACCCCTTCTGCCTCTGCAGGGGCTCCAGGGGACCAGAAGTGATCGTCATCCGCCCCCACCCGAACATACGGTTGAGACATCGAACCGTAGGCAGCAGAAGTGGCCAAACCGTACCCGGCAGAACTGTGCGAACCATATGCAGCAGAGCTGGGTGCGCCGTACGCAGCAGAGCCTGGTTCCCTGTACCCCGGAGGTGAAGAAAAGGAGGCAGCAGAAGCAGCAGCAGAAGCAGCAGCAGCAGCAGAGGGATTCGAGTAGGGAACATCAGCCCCCTCCTTACCACCACCACCACCATCACCATTACCAACCCATTCTCTTCCTCCTATCTCCCCGCCTCTGGCATCCCTCCCCATCCCCTCCCCACCTCCTCCACCCATCCACGGTTCCGGCCCAGAATAAGTAGTCCCCGGATAGAGCGACCCAGGATAAGGACCAGGGAGTTGAGACGGTGTGTATGGAGGAAGAGGAGGAGGAGGAGCAACAGCAGCAGCGCCAGGAGCAAACGGGGCAGCGTTGGCTGTTCCGGCATAGAACAGCGGCGAGGGGGGGACAGGCGCCGGCGCGAGAATAGGCGAGAACGACGGGGAGAGAGAACCGGGGTAGGAGGAGGGAGGGTAGGAGGAAGAGGGGTAGGGGGAGGAAGGGTAGGAAGTAGAGGAGGAGGAAGAAGAGAAGGAAGAGGAGGACGGCGAGTTGGAGGGAGCAAAGACGGTGACGCCGCCAGGTTTGGGGCGGCGGGGCTTTCTGGCAGCAGTGGAGGCGAGCCAGGAGGAGATGCCGACTGCAGCCATGAGTGGCAGGATGATGCGGTAGTCTCGGGTGAGCTCGAATAGAAGGAGCACGGAGGTGAGGGGCACTTGACACACTCCAGCTAGAGTAGCCGCCATGCCCACCTGTTGGTGATTGAGAGGGGATCAGGGGGGAGAGCGGGGAAGAAGTTGTAAAGGGGTTTCTGGCAGTGGTGGAGGCGAGCCAGGAGGAGATGCCAACCGCCGCCATGAGGGGCAGGATGATGCGGTAGTCACGGGTGAGCTCGAAGAGAAGAAGCACGGAGGTAAGGGCACCTGACACACTCCTGCCAGGGTAGCCGCCATGCCCACCTGCATCGTGAGGGGATGGGGATGGGGATGGGGGAAGAGTAAACGCGGGACAGGTAACAGCCATGAGGGGCAGGATGATGCGGTAGTTGCGGGTGAGCTCGAAGAGCAGCACACGGATGTTGAGAGGCACTTGACACACGCCTGCGAGAGTGCTGCCATGCCCACCTGCGTCATGCAGGGGTGGGGGTTGGGGACGGGTAAAGGCGGGACAGACAGCAGGCATGAGGGGCAGGATGACGCGGTAGTCGCGGGTGATCGAGGGTAGACAGTTTGGGGGGGGGGACGATGAGAGCTGGGGGTCTTACCATGGCGTACGCCTGGGGAGCCGCCACTTGGATCCACGCCAGGGTGAGACTCCGGGTCACGTGAGATCCTCTTGGGTCAAGAAACACCAGGAGGTCGCTCGTTGAGGCGACTTGACGGGATGAGCAAGGCCGAGACGTGGAGGGGGGGGGGAGGGGAGGGGGAGGGGGACGGCAGCTAGGAGTCTTACCATGGCGTAGGCCTGGGGAGCGGCCACTTGGATCCACGTGAACGTGAGGTCCGGGTCAATGAACGCCAGGAGGTCGCTCGCCAGCCGCCCGTACGCCGCCCCCAGTGCCGCCCCTATGAAGAGCGACGGCGCGTAGAAGCCGCCCACGAGGCGAGAGCCGCGACAGAAGGCAGTGGCGAGGACCTTGACCACGACGAGTTGCAGGAGGAAGCCCGGCTGGGGGAGGGGGAATTGGGGAAAGGGGGCACGGGGAGGGGAAAGGAGTGAGCACAAGAGCCACAGGAGAAAAACAGTGGCGAGGACTTTCACTTCCACGAGATGGAGGAGGAATCCCGGCTGGGGCAAGAGAGAGGGGGGAAGGGAAAATGGAGATTGGAGGAGGGCGAAGGAGGAAGGAAGGGCATTATTGGTAAAGTAGCACAAGCGATCCTGGTGGCATAACTGGATGAAAACCTCCCAGGGGCATGCCAGGGAAGGATTGCTAGGGCATGCCAGGGCAGAGATACGGAAGGATTGCTAGGGCATGCCAGGGCAGAGATACGGAAGGATTGCTAGGGCATGCCAGGGCAGAGATACGGAAGGATTGCTAGGGCATGCCAGGGCAGAGATACGGAAGGATTGCTAGGGCATGCCAGGGCAGAGATACGGAAGGATT